CTGCTACACACATGCCCAGGAAAACTTACCTGGTATGTTCAACCACAAAAAGAAAAGTGAATCTAGTCAATTCATGAAGGAATCATCCATTATGGCATCCAAATCAGTGGCGTAGCGGATGGGCACGCACTGCGGAGGGGCCCCGCGATAACCTCTCTGTGCTGGTTTGCGTCGAAAAACTAAGATCATGTATCGACATTAGCCAGAGATATTGTCAAAAGCATCAAATATTGTCAAATTTAAGAGCATTTGGCATTTCCATTTAATGTAGGCCTGTTACATTATTACTATTATTAGGTTACTTTTATTATTAAATTAATATTACAATTAATTTACCCCGCAATAACCGCATGACGTGCTGTGAGGATAATAAAAAAATCAGCCTTTTAGCTTGCTTCTCATTGAAAATGTTTTTAAAAAGTGTGCTTGTGTGATATCCATTGGTTCGCCTTCATGGTTTAAAACGTAAATATGTACAATATTGCGACGTAACCACCACCTGAGGGAGGTCTCTGACTTGCGGTTCTCGTGGCGGGGGGGGGGATTCAAATGAACACATATGATCAAATGAAGCACATTTAGCATGTATGACTAACTGACATGTTCTTGTTTCCAAACTGGATCCGTGTGTGGTAACAGAGGCCGAAGCGTGTGAAGGCCATGTATAACTGTGTGGCTGATAACCCAGACGAGCTGACGTTCTCTGAGGGAGAGGTGATCGTGGTGGATGGTGAAGAGGACCATGAGTGGTGGGTGAGTGTGATGACACACACCTCACTTACAAATATTAAAGGGATAGTTCACCCAAAAATGAAAATTAGCCTGTGTTTTACTTGCCCTCAAAGCATCCTAGGTGTATGTGACTTTCTTCTTTCAGACGAATCCAATCGGAATTATATTAAAAATTGTCCTGGCCCCTCCAAGCCTTTCAATGGGGGTAAGCGGGTGTTGGTTGTCAACAGTTCAGAAGACGTGAAATAAAGCGCGCGCATCCTTAATAAAACGTCCTTCACACGGCTCCGGGGGGTGAATAAAGGCCTCCTGTAGCGAATCCATGCGTTTTTGTAAGATAAATATCCATATTTCAAACGTAATAAACACTTTTTTCCGCTGACTGTGGTACGCGGAAGACGTTCAGACGGATGACGTAAAACGTTGACATTGCGTGATTAGTGACGAATGCGGAGACAAAACAAAACGGCGGTCACAAATTAGAAGCACAAAAGAAGGATTTGTAAAAAAAAAAAAATGTTGGAGGATTTCGATATAAGCTAAGAGGAGACCGATTTTACTTTGCTAAAGTAAGGAAACTTTGTTTCCTTTGCTCCTGCATTTCTCAGAGGCGCGTGCACGACGCATACGTCTTACGTCATCCGTCTGAACGTCTTCTGTGTACCACAGTCAGCGGAAGTGAGAAAAAAGTGTTTATTACATCGAGCCGTTCATGCCAGACTGGGGAGAGAGGTGTTGTAATAATGTAAAATATGTGAAAAAATAATGTGTTTTTCGAACAACTTAGTATGAGAGCCTGTTCTAGTACACCCCCAAAACAAAATCAAGACTTTGTAAAAGGGCATAATAGGACCCATTTAATATAATTCCGATTGGATTCGTCTGAAAGAAGAAAGCCACATATACCTAGGATGCTTTGAGGGTAAAACATGGGCTAATTTTCATTTTGGGTGAACTAACCCTTTAAGAGCGAGGAAACCAGAGAGGAAAAGTTAGTTGACCATATTTCCCTTCTTGTGACTGGCTGGTTGTTAATAAGTAAACTCAGTGAGTGTTCAGTGTCTCTGGCTGACTACAGACCAGCTGCTTGTTTTCCAACCAAACTGCCTTCATTTCCACTGGCCGTGTTTAGTCATTCATTCTCCACGGAGGCTCTTCGGCGGTACAGCCAAATCCCCAAATCACAAGGACAGTGTAGGGATGACAGGAAAATAAGTGGGAGAGAGAGAGGGGGGCGGGATCATGAAAGGTCCTCGAGCCGGGATTCGAACTCAGGATGCCCGTAACGCAATGGCGTGCTGCCCACAAGGCTATCGGCGCTGGTCCTTATTTCATATTTTTGACAAATGTTGATAAATATATTTGAGTTGAGTTTTATTTTACGGAGACTAAGCTTCCACTAAGAAACATACCTTTAGCTTAGCAACAAGAGTAGCTTGAATAAGAGATTGCATTGAAATTGAATAGAGATGGTAAATGTAAATTATGGTAAATAAGTTAAATTCAGTGTATGTATATTATATTTCAATT